ATTTCTACACTCATTGTAGTATTTTTCCGCTCGTCGTAGTATTTTTACACTTATTGAGGTATTTTTACGCTTATTGTAGTATTAGAAAAAAGAGTTATAATGCCCGTATTCTTTATCACGAACGAAACACAATTCAGAGACGTTTTGCAGAATCTTGTTACATAACCTTAATTAAAAATAGTGTAAACAAAAGAAATGATACCTCCTTACTCTGCGAAAATTACCGAGTTATACTTAATAACGTTTCTGAATTTATCTCTATTGAGTAAAAATAAAAAAAAACAACGAAAAAATAAATTTGGCAACTATATTACACGGGTTTAGTTTTACTCAATGGAGATAAATTTAGAAACGTTATTAAGTATAACTTGGTAATTTTCGCAGAGTAAGGAGATATCATTTCTTTTGTTTTCATTATTTTTAATTAAGGTTATGTAACAAGATTCTGCAAAACGTCTCTGAATTGTGTTTCGTTCTGAGGTATGCCAAAATGTTCAGAAACCTTCAAAACATAAAGAAATGTAAAAATTTTCAATTTTTGTACGATTACAATAACTTACCCTACGGGAAGTTAATAAAATAATACAGATACAGTTTAAGCGACAAAATACAGCAGCGCGTAAACGCCGCGTCGCAGTTTTGCGGATAAACATTTGTGCGGAATTCATACCTGATTTAATTACTTGACGTTAGCAACCCATTTTCAAATTCTGGCACCAAATTTTGCAAATTTCATACAAACTCACATCCTCAAACCCAATTTTCCAAAAACCACATCATAAATATTACAAAATCACTACAATTCCAAAGAACCCTGAATAAAAAATCAAACGTCAATAAAATCTCCATTTTCCCATTTTAGTTAGCAAGCCTTGAACATTTGCAAATAACAAAAAAACAAAAAAACATAAAACAAAATCCATATTTGTTTATCAAAAATTATAAAAAAAATTATTTGTTTAAAAAAAAAGTCAAAATGTTAAAAATAAGCAAAGCTTTACAACTTTTGCCCAAATCGCAAGACCAGACGGCAGTGTCGAACTTTGGCGGTTCTTTTAAGAGATTTTTGACATTGAATGGATACCGAAAAGGATCATTTTTGACCAGGAGCGAATTGGGGGATAAATTGGGCCTTAGAGCCAGATTTTATACAGATGGTGACATCAAAAAAGGAGGCGGAAAATTAGCTGAGAGACAAAAGGCTTTGGAGGATCAGTATTTTCATAGGCAATTATTATTTTGACATTTTTGGTAGTTGAAATTTAAAAAAAATTGGACAGTTTTAATCAAATTCCTTGAATGCATTTTTAAATTCTTTCATTGTCAGTTTTGGCCAAATTTTACCAATTCAAATTTAACAATCGTCACTTCATTTCGAATTCAATTTAAAAAAAAATGCAAGAATTTGCCTAATTTACATATAATTGCCGGATAGTCACAGTCTAAACGCATTTGCAAATAATTCTGTGCGGCATTTTCACTCATACTGTGCTCAGCTTGGCGGCATTTTCACATTTTTCAATAGTTTTCACAAAATTACCACGTTAAAAAAAATTGGACAGTTTTAATCAAATTCCTTGAATGTATAAAAAATTTCTTTAAATTCTTTCATTGTCAGTTTTGGCCAAATTTTACCAATTTTTTGCAAAATTCAAACTATTTTGACAACATGTCACCGATTTTTGTGAAATTTAATGTGTTTCTATCAATATCAAAAAAAACTAGTGGTGCATGGCATCGTGCCTTAAGGCAAATTGCTGGAACTTCCCGTACCATAATGAAATATTCGAGAAATTTTAAACGTTTTCAAATATATTATTACAAATACTGTAACTTTCATTATTTTTGCATTATCTTGTTACATGTGACCAAATCAAATGTAAATCAAATCATAAATCAATTTATCTCCAGAACATTAACAATCGTCATTTCATTTCGAATTCAATTTAAAAAAAAAATAGTTTCCTAATTTACACTATATTGAAAAAGTGCTCCCGTATAGTCACAGTCTAAACGCATTTGCAAATAATTCTGTGCGACATTTTCGCTTATACTGTGCTTAGCTTAGCGGCATTTTCACATTTTTCAATAGTTTTCTCACAAAATTGGAAAAGTGTTCCAATACATAAACAGTCTAAACGCACTTGAATGAACATTTGTACCACAGTGGCGCTTAGACTGTGCTTAGCCTGGGTAATTTTTTGAATTATTAATCAAAAATTACAAAAATATTTTATGGAGAATAAAAAAAGATGTAATAATTTTTTATCCTCAAATCGTCCAATTTAAAGTATAATTTTCGAAGTCGAATTTTGATCACAAATTTCGATCTAATTTCTTTAGAAAGAATTTGGAGTCTCTGAAAAAGTTGAAAGCTGCTTTAGATAAACAGAAATTGGAAAGAGAAAAAGCTTTGGCCGATCAGATGAAAAAGAACGAACAGGGAGGAACATGATGCAGATTTTAAGGAAAAACATTTTTGTTTTTATATAATTTGAAAAAAGAAACAAATATATTTTTTGTAAAAAAATCGATAGTTTATGCATTTCTATAGGAAACTATAGTGTGGTGGTTGGGGAAAAAATTGTATAACTCGTGAAATATTTGTCTGAAGTGAATTTGATGTATGACACGTGTATTTAGAATTAAATACTTTATAATTTTGTCTAATATTATAATGACCTACAGCAACTCGGTATACTTTGAAATTGGTTTTCAAAATAAGGTATGCACGTCCAACCTTAATAGAGCGCAGAATAGAGAGTATAATAGAACTACTGGTTGCATTCATTTACTATATCTTTTGTAACTTTTAAACCATTAGCTTAATATTAATATAATATTAGACAAATTTATAGAGAATTGAATAATCTACAATATTGTCTAACATTATAAGCCCATACAGCAACTCGGTATACTTTAAAATCGTCATTGAAAGTACAAAATTATTTTTAGGAACATTTTTCAAGGAAAATATAAGGGATTTTTTGTATCCTGAAAATTTTTAAAAATTGTTTTTTTTATTATTATTAAATAGTGAATATTTTCAGTCACCATGGACTGGTGGAATGAGCTCTGGCTAAATGAAGGTTTTGCCCGTTATATGCAGAACAAGGGCATAGATCAGATTTATGACGATTGGGGTTTGGTATGTAAAAAAAAAACAAAATTGTTTAAAAAAATACATACAAAACCCCCAATCTTTGTACAAAACTTTATTCATCGATATTTGGGAACTACTGATATAATACTAAAATTATTTAATAAATAAATTGTAACTACTATTTGCCAAAAATTTGTATGAAAAAAAGTTAGTCGGAAACTCGTGGTAACGTCAAACTAAAAAACGAATTTATATAATAAATTTATTCTATAGCATATATATTTTATTAACCAAATTTATAGTTAAAACCTTAAAATACGCTATAATGGCATATAATACTCATTTAATTTATTTTAAAACAATTAAATAATTTTTTAATACGAATATAAATTTCTACTTTGAAAATCACAACGTCGAACTAAAAATTAATTTAAATACTAAATTTATTCTATAGCATATATATTTTAATAGTCAAATCTATAGTTAAAACCCTAAAATATTTTACCAAAACATAAACTACTCATTTATTCTATTTTAAAGTAATTTTATAAATTTTTTAATATGAATATATATTTCTATTTTGAAAATCACTTGCTCGTGGTAACGTCAAATTAAAAAACGAATTTAGATAATAAATTTGTTCTATGGCATATATATTTTAATAGTCAAATCTAAAGTTAAAACCCCAAAATATTTTACCAAGACATAAAATATTTATTTATTTTATTTTAAAGTAATTTAAAAAAAATTTAATATGAATACATATATTTCTATTTTGAAAATCACTTGCTCGTGGTAACGTCAAACTAAAAAGCGAATTTATATAATAAAATTATTCTATAGCATATATATTTTAATAGTCAAATCTATAGTTAAAACCCTAAAATATTTTACCAAGACATAAAATACTCATTTATTCTAGTTTAAAATAATGTAATCAATTTTTTAATATTAATATATATTTTTACTTCGAAAATCACTTGCTCGTGGTAACGTCAAACTAAGAAATTAATTTAGATAATTTAGATAATTTAGATAATTTATTATTAAAATCCACAGTTAAAACCGTAAAATATTTTACCAAGACATAAAATACTCACTTATTCTATTTTAAAGTAATTTAATAAATTTTTTAATATGAATATAAATTTCTACTTTGAAAATCACAACGTCGAATTAAAAATTAATTTAAATAATAAATTTATTCTATACTATATATATTTTATTATTTAAATCTATAGTTAAAACCCTAAAATATTTTACCAAAACATAAAATACTCATTTATTTTATTTTAAAGTAATTTTATAATTTTTTTAATATAAATATATATTTCTATCAGAGCCAGAGAGCGTTTTGCCCAAATTCATGAGTGACTGAAAATATGCAAAAAAAATCGATAAAATCCAATTTTTTTAAAAAAAATTGGTATAAAAATCTTTTTTTTTTAAATTTTGATATTGCACGTTTTTACAATATAAAAATATTAACTATACTTATATAAAATTATTTTTAATAAATATATACAAAAAAAAAACAATTGGCGTCAAAATCTGCCCTTAAGCAAAAATAAATTTTCAACATTTGTGAGCATTTTGATGTAAATTTTGGTATTTATATTTATTTATATATATTTATTAGTCTGTCAATTTATTTATTTATTTAATTAACCCTTTATTTATATATTTAATTAACCCTTTATTTATTTATTTATTTTATTATTATTTTTTTAAATTACAATATTTAATTACAATGATGAACAATAACATAAATTTATATAAAAAAGAGTACAAAATGAAGGATAGTATTTTCATTAAAATGCAGTGTGATGATTTAATAAGAATTAAAAGTAAATAATAATAATAATAAAATTAATAAATAAAATAAATAAAATTTCAGTCACTATGGATTGGTGGAACGAACTTTGGCTAAATGAAGGTTTTGCTAGTTATATGCAAAATAAAGGAATAGATCAAGTGTACAAAGATTGGGGATTGGTAATATGAATTTTTACTTATTTTTAATAATTTATTTATAAATTTTTCAAAAAAAAAAAAATGATAAAAATCTAAGTGTAATTCAAGTCAGTTTTCGCATGATTTATATCTTTTTCAATTTTTTTTAAAATATTTCTATTAAGTTAATATTTTTTTTATCCAGTTGGAACAATTTTTACCAAGTACTGTTCATAGTGTGATGAAATTAGATGGAACTTTAGGATCTCATCCAATTGTCCAAACGGTGGAGACGCCTTCGCAAATTACAGAAATTTTTGATGCCATAACATACGACAAGGTAAAAAAAATTCATATGTAAATATAATATTTTAGCTTTAGAATGATGCAAAAATTAAAGTTTTAGCTTGAACGGTTTGGTAGTTATGAATTTTCAAAAATGAGTTTACACCAAAATGAGTCCACACTAAAAATTTGTTAGTGACAAGAGCGTTTGCAAAAGCCCGTTTTCAATAAGACTTTGTTAGCAATTTTTTGTTTCAACTATTTTTATATGTAAATATAATGTTTTAGCTTTAGAATGAAACAAAAATTAAAGTTTTAGCATAAACTGATCGGAAGTTATAAATTTTTAAACTTTTTACTACGTATTTATAAATTCGTATAAGTTCGATCGCTCGCGGTCACCTCAAACTAAAAAAATATTTAAATAATTAATTTATTCTATAGTATATATAATTTATTATTCAAATCTCTAGTTAAAACCTTAAAATATTTTACCAGAACATAAAATACTCATTTATTCTATTTGAAAGTAATTTAATAAATTTTTTAATATGAATATATTTTTCTACTTTGAAAATCACTTGCTCGTGGTAACGTCAAACTAAGAAATTAATTTAGATATTAAATTTATTTTATAGCATATATATTTTATTATTTAAATCTCTAGTTAAAACCTTAAAATGTTTTTCCAAGAGATAAAATACTCATTTATTCTATTTTGAATTAAATTTAATAATTTTTCAAACTTCGACTTTGAAAATATATTTCTCGTGGTAACTTCAAACTAAAAAAATATTTTAGGTAATAAATTTATTCTATAGCATATATCATTTATTATTCAAATATATAGTTAAAACAGTAAAATATTTTACTAAAATATAAAATACTCATTTATGCTATTTTAAAGTAATTTCATACATTTTTTAATATGAATATATTTTTCTACTTTGAAAATCACTTGCTCGTGGTAACTTTAAACTAAAAAACGAATTTAGATAATAAATTTATTCTTTAACATATATATTTTATTATTCGATTATCTGTCAATTAATATTTATATTTTTATTACAGGGTGCAAGTGTCATCAGGATGTTAGAAAATTTCGTCGGAATGGATCGTTTTGCCAAAGGAATCACAGCCTATCTAAAAGCTCATCAATATGGAAATGCAAGGACAACTGATCTTCTGCACCAATTGCAAATAATTGTCAAGGATGAAATGGATTTAACGTCAGTAAAATAATAAATAATAATTATATAATCATGTATTATTATTATATTATTTTTTTTAGTAAAATCATGGACACCTGGACAAGGCAAATGGGTTTACCAGTAGTCACTGTCACAAAAGGTGATAAACCTGGCGAATTTGTCTTGACACAAAAGCGTTTTTTGGCTGATCCTGATAAGGAAAGTCAGGCTGAACCTTCACCATACAAGTAAATGGATATATTTACATATCAACAAAAATATTGCTATTGTTTATATTTGTTTTATTTTAGTTACCGATGGGAAATTCCAATAACGTACATCACGAATGTTAAAGACGATTATAAACTTGAATGGTTCCCGAGGGAAGATGCTGCAAGTATGTGTAATTTAGTATTTAGATTATTTTTGTGTGAAATTTTGGGGTTTTAGCTTTAGAATGAAATGAAAATGTAGTTTTTAGCGTGAATGGATTGGTGGTTATGAATTTTCGAAAATGAGCTTACGCCTAAGTGAGTCGAAACTAGAAGTTTGTATGTAGCACGTTTTCTATAAAACTTTGTTAGTAAGTTTTTGTTTAAACTATTTTTATATGTAAATATAATGTTTTAGCTTTGGATTGTAACCAAAATTAAAGTTTTAGCTCATACTGATTGGTAGTTACGAATTTTTAAAAATGAGCTTACATCAAAATGAGTCTACACTAAAAATTTGTTAGTGACAAGAGCGTTTGCATAAGCACGTTTTCCATAAAGCTTTGTTAGCAACTTTTTGTTTAAATTATTTTTAAATGTAAATATAATATTTTAGCTTTGAATTGAAATAAAAATTAAAGTTTTAGCTCATACTGATTCGTAATTATAAATTTTCAAAATTGAGTCTACATCGAATTTCACTAAAATTTTGTGTGTGACATAAGAGTGATTACAAAAGCATGTTTTCCATAAAATTTTGTTAGCAACTTTTTGTTTAAACTATTTTTTTATAATAATATGATGTTTCAGCTTTGGATTAAAACAAAAATTAAAGTTTTAGCTTGAACAGATTGGTAGTTACGAATTTTCAAAAATGAGGTTACACCCAAATGAGTTCACACTAAAAATTTGTGAGTGACAAGAGCGATTTCCATTAAATTTTGTTAGCAACTTTTTGTCTAAACTATTTTTATATGAAAATATAATGTTTTAGATTTAATATGAAACAAAAATTGAAGTTTTAGTTTGGACAGATTGGTAGTTACGAATTTGTAAAAATGAGCTTACACCAAAATAAGTCGACACTAAAAATTTGTGAGTGACAAAAGAGCGTTTGTAAAAGCATGTTTTCCATAAGACTTTGTTAGTAGGTTTTTGTTTAAACTATTTTTATATAATAATATGATGTTTTAGCTTTGGATTGAAACAAAAATTAAAGTTTAAGCTTGAACGGTTTGGTAGTTACGAATTTTTAAAAATGAGCTTGCACCAAAATGAGTCTACACTAAAAATTTGTTAGTGACAAGAGCGTTTGCAAAAGCTCGATTTTCATAAAACTTTGTTAGCCATTTTTTGTTTCAACTATTTTTATATAATAATATGATGTTTTAGCTTTGGATTGTAACAAAAAATAAATTTCTAGATTATACTGATTGGTAGTTACGAATTTTTAAAAATGAGCTTACTAAAATGAGTCTACACTAAAAATTTGTGTGTGACGAGAGTGTTTGCAAAAGCACGTTTTCCATAAAACTTTGTTAGCAATTTTTGGTTTCAACTATTTTTATATGTAAATATAATGTTTTAGCTTTGGATTGGAACCAAAATTAAAGTTCTAGCATGAACAGATTAGTAGTTACGAATGTTTAAGAATGAGCTTACACCAAAATGAGTCGACTCTAAAAATTTGTGAGTGACAAGAGTGATTGCAAAAGCACGTTTTTCATTAGACTTTGTTAGCAATTTTTTGTTTAAACTATTATTATACGTAAATATAATATTTTAGCTTTGGATTAAAGCCAAAATTAAAGTTTTAGCTTGAACAGATTGGTAGTTATGAATTTTTAAATATGAGCTTACACCCAAATGAGTCTACACTAAAAATGATTCTAGACAATAAATTTATTCTATAGCATATATAATTTAATATTCAAATCTCTAGTTAAAACCCAAAAATATTTTACTAAAACATAAAATATTCATTTATTTTATTTTAAAGTAATTTAATGAATTTTTAATATGAATATATATTTCTACTTCAAAAATCACTTGCTCGTGGTGACGTCAAACTAAAAAAATAATTTATCTGATAATTTTATTCTCTACTATATATATTTTATTATTCAAATCTATAGTTAAAACCTTAAAATATTTTACTAAAACATAAAATATTCATTTATTTTATTTTAAAGTAATTTAATGAATTTTTTTAATACGAATATAGATTTCTACTTTGAAAATAAATAAATAAATAAAAATCACAACGTCGGACTAAAAATTATTTTACCTGATAATTTTATTCTACGCTAAACATATTTCATCATTTAAATCCATAGTTAAAACCCTAAAATATTTTATTTTAACACAAAATACTATTTTCTCCATTTATTTTATTTTTTAGAGACAATTCAAGTAGCCGAGGATGTCGAATGGATAAAACTCAACAAAGATCAAATCGGATACTACAGAGTCAATTATTCTGAAGAAATGTGGAAAAAATTGAGCAATGCCATGAAGAAAAGGATAATTGTAAGTTTTTGAACTACAAAACACAAGTTTTGTGTAGATAAAAAAATATTTGTGGGCCAAGGATCGAACCCTGAGGAACACCGAATGTTATATTCTGTTTGTCTTGATAATTTTTGATCCACGGTGGTTTAGATAGATTTTGAGCTTTTGAATGAAGAGAAGAATAATTGTAGGTTTTTGAACTATATAAAAAATACTTGTGGGCCAAGGATCGAACCTTGAGGAACACCGAATGTTATATTCTCTTAGTCTTCATAATTTTTGAACCACGGTGGTTTAGATAGATTTTGAGCTTTTGAATGAAGAGAAGAATAATTGTAAGTTTTTGAACCAGATAAAAAATATTTGTGGTTCAAGGATTGAACCCTGAGGAACACCGAATGTCATATTCTGTTTATGTTCATAATTTTTGAACCACGTTTGTCTGGAAAGATTTAGAGCTTTTATATGGTGACAAATGAATATAAAATTTAGGATTCTAATGTTTTTTTTATTTTTTTAGAGTTTTTCAGCCTCAGACAGAGCCCATTTATTAAATGATGCCTTTTCTTTGGCCGAAGCAACTTTGTTGCCCTATTCGACTGCTTTGGAGATGACAACTTATTTAGCAAATGAAATGCATTATGTTCCATGGGCAGTTGCTTCTACTGAATTTTATTCTTTGAAAAAATTGCTCTTTGGAACTGAAGTTTATGAGAAATTTACGGTAAGATAGGGGAATACCCTTGTAATAGGAAAAAAATAATGTAGATTTTTCTTTTGTTAGAAATATGCACTGGAAATTATTCAGCCTGCTTATGGTAAAATAAAATGGGATGTCGATGATGATGAGAAACATTTGGATAAGTAAGTCTTACATATTTATATTTAAATATTTAAAAAAAAAACAACATAATATTAACTGTATTTAATTTTTTTCTCTAGACATCTCAGAGTAAAATTATTAAATTTGGCTTGTGCAATGGGACACCAAAAATGTTTGGAAGAAGCTGGGAAATTATTTTTGGACTGGATAGCTGATGCTGAAAATATTCCTCATCCTGACTTGCGCACTTTAGTATACAATTATGGTAATAATAATCAAAAAATAATAATTCTTGCCTGAAGGCTCAAAAATGTGCTGGTGGTTTATGAATTTGCTTTAATGGGTTGTGGGCTTTGTGATACAATTATGGTGACAGATAGATTGATAGTATATTTACAAAAAATGTTGCTAATTTTATTAGCTACAACTTTTGTTAAGAAAACTTTTTGCTAAATCAAGTATTTTTTGAGATATTTGCTAAAACGTAAAAATGCGTACCACAGACTAATCTTAAGAGAGTGCTACAAGCCTCTAATGTTTTACAGAATCCGTTCGAAAATTTGTCTTATTTAATAATAATATTATTATTTATATTAATTTTTTTTTTTCAAGGAATGAAACAAGCTGGAACAAAACAAATTTGGGATATTGTTTGGGACAGATTCAAAAATGAAGGAGATGCTTCTGAAAAGGAAAAATTAATGGATGGATTGTCCTTTATACAAGATGCTGATGTTCTTAAAAAGTTAGTACTTATTTAAATTTACTTCAATACAAAAATAGTAAATTTTTAAATAAATTGAATGGATACACTTTATTAAATGCTAAAAAAAATAATTTTTACCTGAGAGGTCTTTTTTCGTTTGCACAATATGAATTTATAAATAATATATATTTATTATTTATGCACTTTTTAAAATTATAAAGCGTTTTGTTAATTCCTAAAGCACTTTATAAAATTGTTACTGAGTCACAAAAACTGTGTCAATTATTGATCAAACAATTTTGTATATTTACTCGTGACATTCTAACTAAAAAACGATTTTAAATCATAAATTTGTACTAAAGTATATATATTTTATTATTTATATATTTAGTTAGTATGTTAAAAATATCTTTTACACTATTAATTATGCTTTTCGTTAAATTTGAATAATTTTTAACGATTTTTTAACTTTTTATTAGATTTGTCTGTTTCTTAAACGTACTCGCGACATTCAAATTACAAAACGATTTTACATCATAAATTTGTACTAAAGTATATATATATTTTAATATTTATATATAGTTAAAACTTTAAAAATATCCCTCACACTATTAATTATGCTTTTGGTCAAATTTAAATAATTTTTAACGATTTTTAAACTTGGTAGATTTATCTGCTTCTTAAACTTACTTGTGACATTCTAACTAAAAAACGATTTTAAATCATAAATTTGTACTAAAGTATATATATTTTAATATTTATATATTTAGTTAAAACCTTAAAAATATCTTTCATAATATTAATTATGCTTTTCGTTAAATTTAAACAATTTTTAACGATTTTTAAACTTAGTACATTTATCTGCTTCTTAAATTTACTCGCGACATTTTAACTAAAAAACGATTTTAAATCATAATTTTGTACTAAAGTTTATATATTTTAATATTTATATATTTAGTTAAAACCTTAAAAATATCCTTCACACTATTAGTTATGCTTTAAGTTAAATTTAAATAATTTTTAACGATTTTTAAACTTGGTAGATTTATCTGCTTCTTAAACTTACTCGTGACATTCTAACTAAAAAACGATTTTAAATTATGAATTTGTACTAAAGTACATATATTTTAATATTTATATATTTAGTTAAAACTTTAATAATATCTTTCACACTATTAATTATGCTTTTTGTTAAATTTAAATAATTTTTAACGATTTTTAAACTTTGTAGATTTATTTGCTTCTTAAACTTACTCGCGACATTTTAACTAAAAAACGATTTTAAATCATAAATTTGTACTAAAGTATATATATTTTAATATTTATATATTTAGCTAAAACCTTAAAAATACGCTTCACACTATTAATTATGCTTTTGGTTAAATTTAAATAATTTTTAACGATTTTTTAACTTTTTATTAGATTTATCTGCTGTTTAAAATTACTCGTGTCATTTTAACTAAAAAACGATTTTAAATTATAAATTTGTACTAAATTATATACATTTTAATATTTATATATTTAGGTAAAACCTTAAAAATACGCTTCACACTATTAGTTATGCTTTTTGTTAAATTAAAATAATTTTTAACGATTTTTTTTTTAACTTTTTGTTATATTTATCTGCTTCTTAAAAGGTACCTTACTCATGACATTTTGACTATAAAACGATTTTAAATCATAAATTTGTACTAAAGTTTATATATTTTAATATTTATATATTTAGTTAAAACGTTAAAAATATCTTTTACACCATCAATTATGCTTTTGGTTAAATTTAAATAATTTTTAACGATTTTTAAACTTGGTAGATTTATCTGCTTTTTAAACTTAGTCGCGACATTTTAAGTAAAAAACGATTTTAAATCCTAAATTTGTACTAAAGTATATATATTTTATTATTTATAAATTTAGTTAAAACTTTAAAAATATCCCTCATACTATTAATTATGCTTTTAGTTAAATTTAAATAACTTTTAACGATTTTTAAACTTGGTAGATTTATCTGCTTCTTGAACGTACTCGCGACATTCAAATTATAAAACGATTTTAAATTATAAATTTGTACTAAAGTACATATATTTTAATATTTATATATTTAGTTAAAACTTCAGAAATATCCCTCACACTATTAATTATGCTTTTCGTTAAATTTAAATAATTTTTAACGATTTTTAAACTTTTTATTATATTTATCTGGTTCTTAAATTTACTCGCGACATTATTACTAAAAAACGATTTTAAATTAAAAAAATTGTACTAAAGTATATATTTTTTGTAATCTAAATATTTAGTTAAAACCTTAAAATAATATGTATTTCCCAAAACATCGCCTTTACTAAGTTGCAAATATTTTTTATGAATTTTTCAAACTCTACTATAAATCGTCTTCAGAAATATCACAAGGCGATGATAATGTTTGTATTAGAAGCGATTTTAACTAATAAATATATACTAAAATAAACATTTATAACTTTAATAAATAGCTTAAACTTCAAAAAAAATTATTAGTATTAAAATTACCATTTCATTCAATTTTAAATTATTTTTAACGAATTTTGAAATCTTTGTTGTATATATTAGCTCAGAAGATTCTTATTGACTAAAAAGAGATTTTAAATAATAATTTTATACTAAAGTATATACATTTATTTACTTAAATATTTAGTTCAAACTTCAAAAAACTTATTACACTAAAAATCATGTTTCTATACCATTTTTATCTAAATTTATACCTAATTTTTATCAATTTTTATCAATTTTTATAATTTTTTTCCTCCCCAGATATACAGATTTGGCCTGGTTAGAAGAAAACGTCCGAGGTCAGGATTATTTCAAATGCATGTCCTCAATTTCTGCAAATCCTTTAAGTACAGATGCAACCTGGAAATACGTCCAGGACAATTGGCAAAAAATGATCGACAGATTCGGATTGGGGGAAAGAAATTTGGGCAGACTTATTCCATCTGTTACCGATAGATTTACTACTGAAGATAGGCTAAAAGAGGTAAAAAGACGATTTGAAAGATGATACAAAATTGTAATTAATTCAAAATTTTTGTATAGGAGTGTATAAAAGTGTTTTAATGGAAATGTTGTAAATTTTATCTAGTTTTACCCTATCTAACTTAAAAGGGGTGGTTTCATGTGAAATTTTTGAGTTATTTGACAAAAAGCAAAAAAAATGACCCGAATTTTCTATATTTATTGCTTAAGAATGAAATATCGAATTCAAAGTCGTTTTATTCAAAACTTTTATATAGGAGTGTATATAACTGTTAGCATGAATATGTTGGAAATTTTATCTAGTTTCGCTCTAACTATTTTTATTAAAAAATATTGAATATTTAAAAAGTTATCAAACAAATAGTAACAAAAAACATGCGATGCCAGTACCAATATTACTAAAAATTACTTAATGACTGACATTTTATTTTTTGATGGAATAATTTTGTTTATAGAAAATTTTATTACTAAGAAAAGTTATGAACAATTTAATATTGTCCAACTTTACCAAAGACTGTATTAAAAAATATTGAATACTTTAAAAACTATTAAGCAAATATTTTTCATAGTTTTATACTAAATTTTATTCTAACTCTACTTCCCAATTTCTTTAGAAAGAAATTATTTTTAGATAACTATAATAATTTGATATTATTTATTAATTAAAAAAATGTGTAATCCTTTAATTTTTTACAATTGTAAGTTATAAAGTGTGTAAGATTTTTTTTAAATGTTCTAGGAATTTAGGATGAAATATTTTTCATGCAAACTTTAATAGGAAAAATTGAAAAGTTTTTGTTAGATGGCATGGAAAACAACCAAAGAATCGAATCTAAAGTCGTTTTATTCAAAATTTTTATATCGGGTGGTATATAACTGTTTTAATGCAAATGTTGTAAATTTTATCTAGTTTCACGCTGTATAACTTAAAAAGGGAGGTTTGATGTGAAATTTTTGAGTTATTTGACAAAAACCAAAAAATTATCCCGAATTTTCTAATTATTAGAATGAAATATCGAATTCAAATTCAAATTTTATTCAAATGGGCTTAAAATTTTATTTTTCAGATGAATGAATTCTTCGCCAAATTTCCGGAGGCTGGAGCAGGAGCTGCTGCTCGAAAACAAGCCCTGGAAACTGTTTCCAATAATATAAAATGGTTAAAAGTTAACAAAGACAGTGTTGCAAAATGGTTGAATGAGAGGAAATAATTTAAATAAATAAATAAATATATATATATATATATATATATAAATATATATATATATATTAGGGTGGTCCTTAACAAGGACATTTTCGAATTTCTTTGCTCCCAGGGGCGAAATTGCTTCCAAATCAAAAAAAAATGATTCTCTGAAAGTTTTAGCTCTTTTTATAAACATTTAGATAGAGCGCACAATAAAAATTACTTGCATCTGTTTGTTACTAATATGTGCTCAAGAAATGTCAATCTATAAATTCGTGCGCCATCTGTGATCATTCAAATCGTATGATACATAAGAATATTTATAAACCACATAACATGCACATAACCTCTTATTAAATACATGTGAGCTGTTCTATAAATCTATTCATCATGGCATCAAGAATAATTTTGCAGCAAAATATCGTCACCAATTAAATAAATATTTTGCTGCAAAATTATTCTTGATGCCATGATGAATAGATTTATAGAACAGCTCACATGTATTTAATAAGAGGTTATGTGCATGTTATGTGGTTTATAAATATTCTTATGTATCATACGATTTGAATGATCACAGATGGCGCACGAATTTATAGATTGACATTTCTTGAGCACATATTAGTAACAAACAGATGCAAGTAATTTTTATTGTGCGCTCTATCTAAATGTTTATAAAAAGAGCTAAAACTTTCAGAGAATCATTTTTTTTTGATTTGGAAGCAATTTCGCTCCTGGGAGCAAAGAAATTCGAAAATGTCCTTGTTAAGGACCACCCTAATATATATATATATATATATATATATAATATATATATATATATATTTATAAGTGCTCTTTGGTGTTAAAAGTCGAACAAAATCATAAAACTATACAGGTTATTATTTTTTTATTAAATAAATAAAGTATGTGCATATTTATGTTATTAATTTAATTTCAAGGTATTCCTCTGTCTGTTTTTATTTTAAAGAATGGAGCAATAATGTGTGTAAAATTTTGTAATTTGTATAAATAAAAATTGATATATTTTGTATATCTTTTATATTACAATTTATATTATATGGTTCAATTTAACACTGATTTGATTTTATAAATCAAATAAATAAAATAAGAAATAAGAGCAAATTAATTAAAGAAATAAGAGCAAATTAATAATTAAATAAATATATAAACAAGATTTAAAACAAAAAACAAATCAAAATGGAAAATATTTTTTAGGCAAGACAGATATTACAGCTGTTCAAAGAATGAGATTATATCGTCAGCAAAAAAGTAAAAAAAAATACAAGCAGTCAATGAATGTATGTTAATTTTCATTACATGAAGTACTTCAAACACAATTACATGATGAGTGAAGTTGCAAAAACAATATTTGTTTAGGCGTTGTTTAACATAATAATTATCTGCATTTTTGTAAATAATAAAAAATATTGAAGCAATACACCTGTACGAAGATATATCTTTTTCAGAATTACATCTCAGATATTTTTGGAAGTTTAGATAAAGTCTACATATTTTTCGATCATGCTAAGTATTACAAAGTTGCATAATGAAGAATAAATTGATATTCAGATTTATTAATCTAAACAAGAGTTGAAGCACAAGAATAGTTTGTGTAGGTGTGTACCATATATATACAGATATATATATATATATATATATATATATATATATATATATATAATGGATATCTATGCTATAAATAAACTATTTATATTCATTTGATATTCAGATTTATTAATCTAAACAAGAGTTGAAGAACAAGAATAGTTTGTGTAGGTTTGTATCATTTATATACAGATATACTTTATAATAGATATCTATGCTATAAATAAGCTATTTATTTGTTACAAGTTTACTGTGTGAATTTATTAATCAGCAATCACTCCATTTCTCTAATAAAAGCTCGAATCCTAAATGCTAATTACAATGACAAACCGATCATGTCATATTTGAAGTATGACTTTGATTGCATTATTGTTTTTAAATATTATACACATTTTTAATGCTATTATAAATATATAATTTATAATTTATCATTATATAAATGTGTATAATGGTCGACACTAATAAATGTGTGCATTACAAGTGTTACCATATTACTGATGAACATTATTCAAAATTGTTATATGATGTATTTATATTTACTTAAATGCCATCTCGTACAACAACAAAAAAGTTTTACTTCAATACTTAATATATTTGCAATGCGTTACAAACGTGAATTTAAATTATAACAATTTGCATATATCATTTTGTCAAAATTCAAATTTGAAATTGGCGCTACTATTTACCGATCGACAACTCTGAAGTTGCACATCTTACGCATCAATGGCGTCCTGTCAAAACTTGTTGAAGGCGTCTTAGTTCTTTCAAAATGGTCAAATAAAAAAGAAGTGAGTAATATAGAAATAATGTAGTTAGTTGTGCAAGAAATATTTTGTGATGCAAGAAGAGTGGAGCCCCCTTAGGAGTCTCGAGCGGCGGATTGGATGGTAATTGAAAGGTATGGTAATAGACATTTAGTATATAGACATTTGAATATTTTGTTAAGAAGGTGTTTTATGGGTTCGTGCTGATTTTTGCTTGTGATTTAGTAGTCAGTTTTGATGCATCGATTGCCAATTCAGATTTTTTTTATACTTAAAAGTTATATATGCACTTCTAAGTTATATTTTGACAACATAACCTATAAGTTACAAGTAAAGATGTTGAAAATCAAAATAAAACTAGTGGGGCGCACGGCATCGTGCCTTAAGGCAAATTGCTGGAACTTCCCGTACCAGAAATTATTTTTTACATTTTACATACATCCATTTTTTGTAAAGTATGCCAAAATGTCCAGAAACCTCTCGATTACTATAACTTACCCTAAGGGAAGTTAAAAAATCTAGTAAAAGAAATAGGAATAAATCAATGAGTAAATAGTAATTATAAATAACTTGCAGAATTATGTTCTGGATCATAGATCACTCAGACATTTTCTCTTTAGTTTTTCGACTAGTTAGGATTGACATATGTATCCAATTTCTTTCGAACAATCAACCTTCTGCTTCTAATGACTTCTATTGGAAATTTTTAGGTCCTCGTGGAGTATATATAAACCCATCAAATGCTGCAAATCATTCTCAGTATTTTGTTTTGGGCTTTTTGAATTATACAAATATTGTTTCAATATTGGAATTATCATCGAGAAGCTTATTTTGTAATCAAAGTTTGGATGATCTTCCTATGAGGCAGTTCAGGTACTTCAATTTTAAATCTATTTATTCCTTTTTCATTATTATGTAATGGTTTACTATCTATATGCATTATTAGATTTTTTTATCAGGCCTTGTGTGGCTTCTTAATGAAACGATAAGATCTTGGGATTTAGTAACTTCTGGTTCAATGTTCCATTTTTTAGATATAATTCTATTTCTCTGTTCAAGGTAGCATTACCCTTTTATTTCTATTTATTATGCCCCTCCTTGCAGACTTTTTTGACAGCACGTGAGGCCCCAAATAAAAACCTCGATATGTAATTCGAAGAAATGTTGCCTTGTCAATCTTACTAATGTTGAAATGCAGTTAAAATAGAGATTTTATTTTATTTTAGTTTGATTTGTATACCATTCACATTTCTATACATTTATATTTTCTAGCAATTTACAATATTTTCTGACACTTTTAAACAGTTTCTGTTTTGTTAACATTTTCTGACTGTTTTTAAACATTTTTAGATTTAAAGCATGTCCTGACAATTTTCTGTTTTTTGAAACAATTTCTATGTTTTTTTAAACAATTTCTATGTTTTTTTAAACAATATCTATGTTTTTAAACAATATCTATTTTTTTAAAACAATTTATGTTTTTTAAAACAATTTCTATGTTTTTTTAAACAATTTCTATGTTTTTTTAAACAATTTCTATTTTTTTTTAAACAATTTATGTTTTTTTAAGCAATTCAAATTTGAAATTTAAATGGATAATTAAAAAAATCTGAATTTATTGTTCAAAAGTGTTGTAAATTGTCTGAAAGTATTGTAAATTGTCTGAAAATGTTGTAAATTATTTAAAAATGTAGTAAATTGTCTAAAATCTTGCACATTCTCTAAAAATGGTAATCGTATTGTTGTACTAGATTTTGGTATACTAATGAATAAAAAAAATGTACACAGACTTCCATTTATTAAAAAAATAACTAGTGGTGTATGGCATCGTGCCTTAAGGCAAATTGCTGGAACTTTCCGTACCGCAATGAAATATTCGAGAAATTTTAAACGTTTTCAAAAATATTATTACAAATATTGTAACTTTCATTATTTTTGCTATCTTGTTATATCTGAGCAAATCAAATGTTAAAATCATAAATCAATTTATCTCCAGAACATTAACAATCGTCATTTCATTTCGAATTCAATTTCAAAAAAATAGTTTAGTTGCCAAATTTACACAAAATTGAAAAAGTGCTCCCGTATAGTCACAGTCGAAACGCATTTGCAAATAATTTTGTGCGACATTTTCACTTATACTGTGCTTGGCTTGGCGGCATTTTCACATTTTTCAATAGTTTTCTCACTAAATTAGAAAAGTGCTCCCGAACATGAACAGTCTAAACGCACTTGGGTAATCATTTGTACCAGAGTGGCGCTTAGACTGTGCTTAGCCTGGGTGATTTTTTTAATTTCTAATCTAAAATTACAAAAATATTTTATGAAAAATAAAAAAAAGATGTAATAATTTTTTAAATTACTTGCTTTTCATAAAAATATAAAAAAATATATTTATCAAATCTATCGGGTTTATTCATAAAATACAAATTAACAATACGACAATAATTTTTATATATATAAGTACAGTCAATATTTTTTTTAATTAGTATAATAGTTATATATATATATATATATATATATATATATATTTACAATAATGCTAAATGTAAATATGAAATGTATATATAAAAAATATAGTTCCAATAAAACCAAAAATTTAATAGTTTTATTATAATAACTATTTAATATAATTTTGTTTTTTCAGCAAAATTTTATTGGTTTTGGTTATCCAGAAATATCTATAAATATAATTTATAATATATAATAGATTTTTTTATAAATAATTACAATTACGACTAGTGTTCACATTTTAATTTTAAAGATTTTGTGTGCATTCTCCTTAATGGAATGTTCATTCTAAATGAAACCTTGATGAAACCTTTAGAAATTAAATTATAAAAAACATATTTGGTTTAAAATAATCACCAGAGTTATAGACATCCCTATTGTTTATATATATATATATATATATATATATATATATATATATATATATATATATATATATTACAACTTTGCTGCTGCCGTTTTTATAGTACAAGTTCTTAGAATTAAACGGCGGAAGCAAAGTTGTGCGCCTAATAAATAAGTCGAACCAAAATAAGTCAGTCTTTTCTGAAACAATTGAAATTCGCCTTTTTTCAGGTTATCTTGTAATATGTTAATTGAAGTTTTTGCACTAATAGTTTGGACACTTGGTTTAACACTTAAAATGTTCCAGTAGATTTATCAATCTGCCTTCCAAATAGGTTTTGAATACCATGACGTATATATTACCTTTATAATAAAAAATTGATGAATTTAAGTGATGGAAACAGTAGTAGTCTAGTTGCTGCTTACACGTACAAAATCTTTGGTCCACTTTATTAGTTTTTAAGTTGCCCAATACATTATTCTTGTGCCCATCCATTTATTTTTGGTATACATACTGAGCTTTACAAAAAAACAGGTGAATATAAATAATGTAAACAGCAGTAATTAATATCCAGTTACTTCTGAACAATGTACAAGCACATCGTGTTATTTTTTATAAATATAGACTTTTGTGCAACGCCCTAATCACTAGTATTCCATTGGCTACTTAAAGAGTACGCCCAGTCCTCGGGTCATCTCGAGTTAACGAATTTACTCTAGCCCCCTGACACCGGACTTCCATTGGCATACTCATTCTGTATGTTCAGATTTCGGGTTATCGCTGACACCAAACAGTTCACTGGAATCGCAATTTAACCTCTCATTGTCCTTACTCACCAAATCGTCTTTTGATACTTTAGATTTTGGAACTGGATCTGGATTGTATGTTGTTTTGAGAACTGAATTTAGATACTTCATTAGAGTAAAACAATTATTCATGTCATGACATTTTGTATAGTTTTGATAATGATGTATTTTAATACATTTTTATATGTTCATAGAAACATCATTCTATTAATTTTTATATTTCTCTTCTGGTGATCTAAGACATCTACAATGTAGGTGGTAATTGGGCATGGATTAAGTATTGAAAAAAATATAGACTCTAGTGCAACGTCTTCCGTTGGCTACTTAGAAGGTACGCCGAGTCCCCGGGAACATCTCGGGTTAACGAATTTACTCTAGCCGCCTGACACCGGACTTCCGTTGGCATACCCATTCTGTATGTTTAGATCTCGGGTTATCGCTGGCACCAAAAAGTTCACTGGAATCGCAATTTAACTTATCCTTGTCCTGTATAACTCACCAAATTTTAATATATTTTTATAAAAATAAAAATATCCTATTAATATCTCATCGTTTATTCAGGAAATTTGTCTACTAGCATTTCTTGGTAAATTTATATTGGCGTCAACTGCTGGTGAAACTAATATTAGAGTTCATCAAACGTACTTCCAAATGAAATTCATATACCAATTATACCGACTGGTAAAAATCAACTTTCTATTTACCTTATAGAGACATTAATCTGGGCCATATATCTGGCCAATTCACTGCCAGAATACTCCTCCTCGTCCAAATCCTGCAAACTAGAATTACTGATAGATTCGGAATGGGAAATCTGTCTTGGTGTTTGGTCTTCTTTTTTACCACTTTTACCACTTCTAACACCGTTTCTCAATCTTTCGGCGAACGATTGCAGTTTTCTGGATTGATGATTGCTGTCACCAGAGGCGGACTTTCGAAAAAGATTATTATTGTTGTTTCCTTCGGCGGTTTTGCTGCTGATTGTAGATAAGACTGTCGATTGGCTGCTGGGCTCCGACAGTTGGTGGATTCTGTAAAACTTTGAGAGGTTTTGGAATTAATGGTAAAGGAAATAGTTGAATATGAATATTATACTAGCTGACCCGGCAAATGTTGTTTTGCTAAGTAAGGTATATTCTAAACAATTTCTAGAGAATCGAAAATGTTAATATTTCAAGTGTATAAGGATGTGTTGTTTGAATGCTATATGCAATGAGGTATTATAAAAACAATAAACACCATTAGTTTGTCTGGAAGTTTTATACGCTTTCTATAGAAAACATGATATAATTCAATCCAAGTCTTTTTTTGGTCTTTCGACTTATTGATAACGTTTCAAGTTTTTCAGATTATTTTTGGATTCTGGATTTTGTGTATAATTGTAAATAATAAGCAAGGCGTACTACTGAGCTTATACATTTCAAATTTCTGGGAGGGGAGATAGAAAATGAATTAAGTATTTCTTCTTTGACCTGCTTTTTGAAAAGTTTCAAGTAACATTCGATGAATTAAAGTAAATTTAATGAAAAGTATATATGTAGAGCAGGGCAAGGCACAAAGGTCCAATTTGAATTTGAGCAAATATTAATTATATTATAATAATGAAACCAATTATATCACAACAAATAACACATTTCAAACGAACGAACTTTTTGTATCTAGACCTATAGGCGGAGTAACTTGTAACAGGTTTAATGTGTTATTTTAATTTTAAAGATATTTTACAAAATAATTACATTTTTAACTAATGCTAAAAAACTACCAACGGAAGAAACTACTTTTATTATGGATTTTCAAAGATTACTGTTTATCTCCCGATGGCAAAGTCATAAGAATCAAGGTTATAGCGGGTTATACATCTTTTTCCCTCTACTTTCAAATATTGTTGTTAAACAATGCTTAACTTTACTGGCTTTTGACACATCGCTGATGGATCTTTTTAACGCTGCACCTTCATATATTACTATCTATTCTTCGATAAATTCTGGGAAATTATAACTGGGAAAATGTTATTCGGCAAAGTGTCCCTTTGATCGATACCAAATTTAGGTTCTGAATTTAAATAATATAAATAAAAATTAATATAACCTAGAAAATGTTTTATAAATACGAATGAGTATATAATTATACAAACAAGATCTTTCAGAGCACCGTGTTTGAGAAAAATATGATTTGCAAAAAAAGAGTGCTACAACGCCAAAAAGTGCATTTTTATATTAAATTTTCAAAAAAGTTGATATTGTTGAGTTTGTAGTAACACTTGCAGCCCTATTATATGATTTTACTGAATTACAAATTTATAGCTGTTTTTGTGAGAAACATGTGCGATTTTATATTTTTATAATTTAGTACACATATTAAGAAATAACATACTAAAATTTTGTAAATCTAGTATAACGTTTTATATTATTAAATATTTTTCAAAATACTCATCAAACCGTAGACTTGCAACTATTGGAAACTTGCTATGCAAGATTGCATTTGTTTACAAAATTGCACATTTATAGCTTTTTTTGTTAGAAACATATGTGATTTTATATTTTTATAATTGAGTACATATATTTGGTAATAGCATACTAAAATTTTATAGCTCTAGTATAATATTGTATATTTTTAAAACATTTATCAAAAGTACTTCTCATATCATATCCAACCGTCGATACGCAACTAATAAAAATAGATTACAGATTATATTTTTCGCAATTTTATTTTTCATTTGCTCGTCAGTAGTTTTTTTTGCAATTTTTTTCTTTTTTTTAGTCTGCTTGTCAGTAGAGTCCCTTTTTAATTTTATTTAGTTTGATCGTCAGTAGAGTCCTTGCTTTATAATTTTAAATTTAGTTTGCTCGTCAGTAGAGTCCCTTTTTAATTTTAAATTTAGTTTGCTGTTCAGTAGAATCCTTTTTTTGTAATTTTTTTATTTTTACTTTGCTCGTCAGTAGAGACCCATTTAATTTAATTTTTAATTTGCTCGTCAGTCCCTTTTTGTAATATAAACAAATTTGTAATATAAACAAAAAATCCTTTTTTTGTAATATTATTTTTACTTGCTTGTTAGTAGAGTCCCTTTTTAACTTCCCGTAGGGTAAGTTATTGTAATGGGCCGAAAATCGGAATTGAAAATTTTTACATTTCTCGACGTTTTGAAGGTTTCTGAACGTTTTGGCATACCTCAGAAAAAATGGATGTGTGTGTGTGTGTGTATGTGTGTGTGTGTATGTATGTATGGATACAAATTTTCGCCCACGTTTTCGGGCGTACGGATCAACCGATTGGAATGGTTCAAAAAACATTCGATTCCTATTGATAGGGAAAAGAGCTGATTAGTTTTTGGCAAAGGCAGGTCCAACCGTTTCGGAGATACGGAGCAAAGAGTGCAGAAAATAGAAATCAAATTTTTGAGAGAACGGAGTATCCGATTTGAATGATCTAAAAAACATTCAATTAGTAATGATTGGGAGAAGTTTTTATTAGTTTTTGGCAAAGGCAGGCCCAGCCATTTCGAAAATACGGAGCTAAATATGTAAAAAATGGCAATTTTTGAGAGAACTAAGCGTCCGATTTAAATGATTCAAAGAACTTTCTGCTTGTCTTAACAAAATAATTGATTTTGGAAAAAAAATTGTTCCTTTTTTTTTTTTTTTTTTTTAGCTTTTTGTATATCGAAAATATTTCAGATTTTATTTTTAATTCTGACTATAGTTCTAATATACTTTATAAATAATTTCAACTCTGTAATTTAGTTTATATAATTCTTATAAATATTAGACAATGTTACAATATTTATAATAATCTATTTGAAAACATTCGGTATTCCTCGAACATTTCGTTACGGTACGGGAAGTTCGAGCAATTTGCCTTAAGGCACGATGCCATAATTGCCTCAGGACAGAATTCCACTTACAGCTAGTTGTAAATTTATTTTTAGTAGAGTTTCTTTTTAACGTTACTTTTAGTATGCTCATCAGTAGAGTCCCTTTTTGGTAATTTTATTTTTAGTTTGCTAGTCAGTAGAGTCCTTTTTTGGTAATTTTATTTTTAGTTTGCTAGTCAGTAGAGTCCCTTTTTGGTAATTTTATTCTTAGTTTTGCTAGTTAGTAGAGTCCCTTTTGATAAAAAAATTAAGAAATATCACTTGGTGAAGGCAGGAGTAAGGTAAACTATCACGTGCATTTATTTTTCACCTTAATTTTTTAAAAAAATTCAAACATTTTCAAACAAAAAGAAAATATTCTAAAAATTTTAAACGTCGTGTTTGGTGAGGGAAGGGGGTAATACAAGTTTGCATTGCAATTTTTTAGTTTCTTCTGTTGGAAACATATTTGATTTTATATTTTTATAATACAGTACACATATTAAGAAATAACATACTATAATTTCATAACTGTGTTACAGCGCTTTGTATTTTTTAAATATATTTTAAGTCGCCAATTTGTTTACGTCAAAACGTTTACTAACGTTTTTGTATATAAATAAAACTACAAACAAAACTACGTACTACAATTCAATCATAATTAAATAATATTCACGTAAAACATCCTATTAAACGTAATTGGACATCATGTGTCAAAAACATTTGACATTTGACGTATTAGCCACCGCCTATTGTTTTATTCAAATTACGCTTCTACAAAAATGTGAAAATTAAAAGTGTAAAGTTTCTACGCGATTTTGAAATATCTCACCTTTCCGACAACTTACTGATTAGCACGAATTTTTCAAGACCAAGACCGGCCAAATCGGTTTAGCCGTTTTCGAGTTTTAGCGGATCATTTGATGGAGAGCTCCATTTTTATATATAAGAAGATGGAAAAAGCCTTTGGCGGCTCATCACCTTATCTATTACCCTATCAATTATCTTTTGATATTTTATTAATTTAAATGTTTTACGGTTTTGAATGAGTATAACTTTCAACTTTGTGCAAGAATTTTGAGCTTGACTGGTGGTCAAATAGACTTTAATATGATGAACATTGTATTTAATGTTCGAATGCTTTTTTCAGCTCTCAAGCTAAATTCGTGCAGCTACTATGATTATTATAAAATTACTATCCTTTTGATATTAACTATGAATAAGCTTGACAAGGGCCTGAAATAATATCTATTATAATTGATTACGGCTTGCTTATGAATAAATAAATAAATAAATAAATAAGAAGTGAATGGCAATTATGGGTACTTGTATGGGCATACAAAACATCATTGACATGGAAACATCGTAGTGGGGTTAATCGATACTTGAAACTTTTTATTCAAACTAGTGGTGTATGGCGAATCCGAATTATAGTTTAGGGGGATCATTCATACATAGTTGCAGAAGAATTTCATATATAAGATATATTATATATAAAAAGTGCAGTGAAGGTGCTAGAGGATAATTACCTTACCCCTTACCCTATCAATTATCTATTACCTGAGGGTGCCTAGTAAGGGCTATAACATGTCGTCCCCCATATCCGCTGTTTTTCATGGTAATGTCGACGTCATCGTCGACGGCTCCTCCGGAGTCGTCCTGTTTGAAGCTCTGCCTCCAGCGGTGATTTGTTCTGACGGAGGCCTGCATCTCCGCCACGGAGGAGCCCTGGCGCATTGAGGCGCCGAAGCGGCTTAGGGCGCTGTAGCGCGCCTTGTGCCCTACGGAGTCGGAGGGCTTTAGGCCGCAGTGCTGGGCTAGGGTTGACTGGGGGATAAGAAATAAACTGAGAGTAATATCTACATATATATAAAAATAAGTCGGGTTTTCCTTCCTGACGAAATAACTCCAGGACGCACGAACCGATTTCGACAATTTTGCATTCGTTGGAAAGGTCTCGGGCTCCGCAAGGTTTATAGCTAAGAAAATTAGTTGTGCATGGCATCGTGCCTTAATGCAAGCTGCTGGAACTTCACGCACCGTAATTAAAAATTCGAGTAATGACATTAGTGAGAATTATCAGAATTATGCTCGGTTAAGTCAACGAGCAATTCTTGCCGCAAAGAATAATGATGTACACGCACTGAATTTCACCATTCAATCAAAAATTGCTGGCGATTTGGTGACATACCAATGACTCCGACTGGTCTTCCGTATGACTTCAAACGATTGCAATTTCCGGTTCGCAATAACAAGTCGCAATGCCAATCGCTTAGTGTTTGCGGGATAAATTTCAAATAGATTATTTAGAAAATCATTGTTTTTCATATGGGCAGTTATACGTTGCCTGTTTACGAGTTGGAAAACCATCCGCTTTGTTTGCGTTAACGTCAGAACAAAAAACAAAAAATGTGGTTTACCAAAGAGAACTTCAATGAAACGGATAATTTGCGGATTCACTTTCATTTACTTAGAGAAGTTCAACTAAAAAATACTTCGATTTTTGTAATCGAAATAAATTCATTACTGTTGTGCAATAAAATCAAATTTTTCCTCTTCAACTATAAAACAAACAAAAAATTTCTTCATCTTTCTCATGAAACCATCTAGTGGTGAAACGGAGTTCGTCGGGTTTGCTAGTATATATATATATATATATATATATATATATATATATACTAGTTGGCCTTAGTTTTGTTTTTTGGTATTATATTTTGATTTTTGTAACAGGTCATATATTTTATAAGTTTACGTGAATGTTTAATATTAGTAAAAGAATTTGAGTACTTTTGTGCTTATTGAAAAATAAAACTAGTGGTGTATGGCATCATGCCTTAGGGCAAGTTGCTGGAACTTCCCGTACCGTAACGAAATATTCGAGAAATTTTAAATATATTATTACAAATACTTTAACTTTCATAATTTTGCTATCTTGTTATATCTGAGCAAATCAAATGTAAATCATATCAATTCATCTACAGAACATTAACAATCGTCATTTCATTTCGAATTCAATTTAAAAAAATATTACATTCTGCACAAAATTGAAAAAGTGCTCCCATATAGTCACAGTCTAAACGCATTTGCGAAAAATTCTGTGCGACATTTTCACTTACTTATACTGTGCTTAGCTTGGCGGCATTTTCATATTTTTCAATAGTTTTTCTAACAAAATTGGATAAGTGTCCAGTACATAAACAGTCTAAACGCACTTGGGTAAACATTTGTACCAGAGTGGCGCTTAGTTCTCTCAAAAACTGCCATTTATTGCACATTTAGCTCTGTATCTTCGAAATGCCGGGACCTGCCTTTGCCAAAAACTAATCAGCACATAAAAGTGTTCCCTAGGAAATGTTCTAAATTTTATCTAGTTTCACCCTATCTAACTGAAAAGGTTTAATATGAAATTTTTGAGTTATTTGACAAAAACCAGGAAAATGTCCCGAATTTTCTATATTTATTGCTCAAGAATGAAATATCGAATTCAAATTTTGCCCTATATATTTTTCCTGGATTTTCTCTTTTTTCGGCTGGATTTAATTATAAGTATTGTCCCTTCGTATCAGTATGTATTGTGTGTCATTGATGAAACCAATAAATCTCTTAGTCACATACGAATAAAAGGCCGAATGGTACTTAATCACGAAATCTCTGCCCTTTTCCAATAGAACAAATGTACATTTCGATTCGTCGAACGCATTCGGAATAACTAATTTTGTTTCGACACTTTTTGATAAATCTTTGGGATAATATAAATATACATATGTGTATGTATTAAGGTGGTCCTTGATATGGACATTTTCGAATTTCCTTGCTCCCAAGTTCCAAATTGATAAAAAAGAATTCACTGAAAGTTTTAGCTCTTAATATTAACGTTTAGATAGAGCGCAGTTGAATCAAACTTTCCATGGAAATAGCATGGAAAAAATTTTGAAAATTAAAAAAAAATTTTTAGGTATAACTTAGAGACAAATGAATTAAAAGTGAAAATTCGTATCATTTTTTATTGAAAATTCGACGCTCTGTAAAATTTTGGAACATTTTTCCATGCTATTTCCATACAAAACTTTGATTGAATTGCCCTCTATCTAAAAGACAATATTAAGAGCTAAAACACTCAGAGAATTGTTTTTTATCATTTTTATCGACTTTGTTTAAATATTTCATACAGTTTAGTATCGATTATTTAGAAATTTCCATTTATTCGCATGTGTGTTAGATAGTAGTTCACTTGAAACAATAGTTTTAGAGAGAATTGCTTTGCATTCGTATGAATGTGTCAACTTTACTAAACAATTGTCGAAACAGACAAAAGCCATGGTGTCGAATAAGATTCTGAACTTCTTGAATAAAACTTGAAAATCAAATCAAATTTGAAGAATATTCTATTTTTCTATAATGCTCGATTTAAGCACATCAAACCCTAAATTTTCACCCTCTCAAAAAATAACTAAGTACTGTTATCCATAAAACTGCAGAAATAAACAATTTAAATCTATCACAAATAAAAGCCACAGCAAAGCGTGGCCGGGCATGCTAGTATATATAATATATATATTTATTTATTTATTTATTTATTAACTTACCGTAGGGTAAGTTATAGTAATCGCAAAAAAATCGAAAATGAAAATTTTTATATATCTTTGCGTTTCAAAAGTTTCTGAACATTTTGGCATACATAGTGTGTGTTTTGTGTGTATGAATACAATATTTCGTCCACGTTTTCGGGCGCACGGATCAACCGATTTGAATGGTTCAAAAAACATTCGATTCCTATTGATAAGGAGATGTGCTGATTAGTTTTTGGCAAAGGCAGGTCCAGCTGTTACGGAGATACGGAGCAAAGAGTGCAGAAAGTACAAATCGAGTTTTTGAGAGAACGGAGAATCCGATTTGAATGATCTAAAAAAACTCTCTGCTTGTATTGACAAAACAATTGCTTTTGAGGATAAAAAATTTATTACATCTTTTTTCATTTTCCATAAAATATTTCTGTAGTTTTGGATTAAAAATTCAAAAAATTACCCAGGCTAAGCACAGTCTAAGCGCCACTCTGGTACAAATGTTTGCGTTTAGACTGTTTATGTACTGGAGCACTTTTCCGATTTTGTGAAAACTATTGAAAAACGTGAAAATGCCGCCAAGCTAAGCACAGTATAAGTGAAAATGACGCACGGAATTATTTGCAAATGCGTTTAGACTGTGACTATACGGGAGCACTTTTTCAATTTTGTGTAAATTAGGCAACTATTTTTTTTTTGAAATTAAAGTCGAAATGAAATGACGATTGTTAATGTTCTGGAGATAAATTGATTGATTTATGGTTTACATTTATCAAGATAGCAAAAATAATGAAAGTTACAGTATTTGTAATAATATATTTGAGAACGTTTAAAATTTCTCGAATATTTCATTACGGTACGGGAAGTTCCAGCAATTTGCCCTAAGGCACGATGCCATACACCACTAGTTTATTTATTTTAATATTTATTACCTTGAATGCTTCCCGAAATTTATTGCTCATGATGTTGTACAGGAGCGGATTGACGCATGTCGAGGCGTAATAAAGGACCCCAGAAACGTGGTTAAGGGCATGGTATACCGCTATATACGTTTCGTGATACACTTCGTTGGTTCGTCCATAGACCGCCATCATCCTTTGGGCGTGGAAGGGGGCCCAGCAAAAGAAAAAGGCCACTGTGACCGCCACTGGAAAAAGGAAAAAAAATGGTAAAGGACTAATTTTATATATATATATATATATATATATATATATAATATAATTTTTCTGTCTATTTCATTTCGGAGTTTTCTGCACTTATTTTACCCCATGCTGAGCGCTTCATTAGTCGCCCTAATTTTATTGCAAGCCCCGGCTCCCCTATAATGTTCGACGTTAAAGTTAATTATAGCATTTTGCTTCCATGAAGTATTAAATGTGTTATGAACACATTTACACACTTTTTTTCGGGAAAAATTCGGAAAGTGGGAAAGTCAATTAACGAGATTGCTTTTGGTAAGAGAATAAAATATTTACAATATATATATATATATATATATATATATATATATATATATATATATATAATAGATGACCCGACAGGCGTTGTCCTGTACCCACATCTACGTTTTTTAATATCCTATACTAATATTTACCGTTCACTTAAAAATAATAATTATTGTTTTTCAAATTACTATTGACACCAATATATGAGTGATGTTAAATGTAGAACTGCTTCAAATAAAATTATGATTCTCGATTCCCACACTTTAATTATCTCTTTAACAAATATTAAAACATGATCAATAAAATTGTATATTAAAAATTATACACTGCAACTTATAGAACAAATTTATTTCCAATAGCTCAATTTATTTTAATGCCAAAGGTTATCCAATAATTTTAGTCACACCTGTAGATGTGAATGTATAAATGAATGATTTTTTGTTCATTCACGACTAAAACATTGATTTTACAAATTTATCACACGAAAAATCATCGTCTGCCTTTGTGATTTATAGCATAAGATACACGTGTTGAAAAGAAAGTGTTTAAAAATTCAGAAAGAATTAATATATAGCATGCGGTCAAGGTACAATATCACTTTGGATTTTTCTACCCAAAATAATTGCTTCAAAAATGTTGCCTATAATTTATATAATTACGTACCATATTTTAACTGGCTTTTAGTAATTTTAATATCTAAGTTACATTTTTCTCACTAATAATTCAATATACATTCTTACTTAAGTTCATATTTGAAGTGAATCAATTTATCAAATCATGTTCACATGTGCTCTATTCAACTTACGATCAACAAAATTATTGCAGTAAATGGAAAGGAAAAAACGTGTGCCCTGTGAATTTTTTTACTGTGCTCCAATTTGCTTGATATTTTGGAAATAGGTTAATCTTAATCTTAAGTTCAGAAGTGAAAACAATTTGCACTCCTTCATTACCCACGGAATTAATTGGATTATAATTCTTTTAATTCTAATTTTATCAGAACTTGTAATATACTATTTTAAAGGTAATTAAATAAGCTACAACTTTATCTATAATAAATTTTACCGTAACTTTTCTTATTTTGAAATGGCAAAAATTTTTGATTGTGATTTTAGAAATATTATTTAGGATTACGAATACCGAGTTTGCAAAAACAAAAGTAATAAAAATTAAACAAAATAATAAAAAATTTCATCGAAGTTCTATGTTGTACTTAAAAAAAAACTCAGAATTTTCAAACCTCTTGAGATAATTTTTTAACTATTATATCTTGACGATGACTTTTGGGATACCCTGTAATATTATTATAAGTTTTTTATATACAATGTGGAGAAACTGTTTATGTACATTTTTTATTGTATGAAATATTCTGTGAATTATAGCTTTATAGCTCATTTAAATTGCTAAAACTATATTCATAGTTTAAATATTCGAAATCACCGGACGTTCTTAATAAAATTATATACTTTTATTGGCGCCGAAAAATTTTATGAGTCTTAAAATTATTCTATATATCTGTATATATATACATATATGTATATATATATATATATATATATATATATATATATATTAACAAAGTCTAATAATCGGGCATAACATCAATAAAAAACATGAATTTCTTTCAAAAATTTATTTTAAATCCATACGTTTCGGCTATAATCCTAGCCTTCATTCAGTGGAAAAATTAGTTGATCTTAGTGTTAATTTGGAAAACTTTAATAATCCATGGTATTAGGATATGGTAATGCACTACACTATGTATTATAAACATTAACTTGAAATTACACAATATTTTCACAAAATACTGATTTGAAAAAATCACAAATGGATAGTGTGTTATTCGTAGACTGGTTGAAGATGTAATTCGTAGACTGGTTGAAATTACATCTTCAACCAGTCTACGAATAACACACTATCCATTTGTGATTTTTTCAAATCAGTATTTTGTGAAAATATTGTGTAATTTCAAGTTATTGTTTATAATACATAGTGTAGTGCATTACCATATCCTAATACCATGGATTATTAAAGTTTTCCAAATTAACACTAAGATCAACTAATTTTTCCACTGAATGAAGGCTAGGATTATAGCCGAAACGTATGGATTTAAAATAAATTTTTGAAAGAAATTCATGTTTTTTATTGATGTTATGCCCGATTATTAGACTTTGTTAATACATATGTCAACATCAAATTCAGAATCATACAAAATATATATATATATATATATATATATATATATATATATATATATATATTATTATTATAAGGTCTCGGAATGAGTCCCTGGGGTACTCCACGTGCCATTTATTTACTTTATTTACACTACATATTTTTTCGCATATATTTCTACAATTGTATTCATGTTATGCATTAGTTTTGTTTGTTTCATTAGTTATTCATTGTTTATTCCTTTCACGTCGCAAATAATTATTCTCATCTTTTGTCAAAATAGACAAAGAGCTCGTGTGCAAATTACTCAACGGCTTTGTTTATAAAAATAAATAATAATTGTTCAATTAAATTATGAAAACTGATAGTATTGCAATACGATGGTAGAATATTAAATATAATATAATTGAAACTGTAGAAGTGTATTTGTTTTTATTTTTTAAGTAAAAATTCGATGGATACATGATGGAATGAAATATCATCGAATTCAAAGTCGTTTTATTCAAAACTTTTACATCGGAGTGTATAAAAGTTTTTCCAATGATATGTTGTAAATTTTATCTAGTTTCACCCTATCTAACTGAAAAGGGTGCTTCTATATGAATATTTTGAGTTATTTGACAAAAACCAAAAAATGTCCCGAATTTTCTATATTTATTGCTTAAGGAAAGGATACAATTTATGATTATTTTTGACATTATTATTTTTTCATTCACAATTTAACATTTATTTTATTTATTAATTATTTTAATTATTATTTAATATATTTTTAATTATTATATTATTATATATTTATTTTAATTATTAAAATTAGATTTGCAATTTGTTTGATGTTTTATGTATTTAGTTATGTTTTTTGAAACTTTTGTTTATTTTTGCATATTTTTTTTTTAATTTCTCTTATTCAATTTTTTATTAAATTATTTGTTCTTGATTTATTATTTTTACTCACAATTTACTTTGAATATTTTTGCAATAAGCTTGTTTTTGTATTTTTTTATAAGTTTTGCAACTTTTTGATAATCTTTGTACAAGCTTTTAATAAATATTGATAATATTATTATTAATAATAATAATAACAATAATATGAGACACTTAAATTTGTTAGAATATCATAAAATAACCTAAAATTTGTTAAATAAAATAATTGTATTGTAAAAGTATTGTAAAGCTTATTAAAATACTTATCAAATTTTTAAAAAATACTTGCAACAAACTGGTTATATTTAAAAATAATTAAAATTAACTAAATATAAATAAGTTCATAGTAAATAAATTAATAAATAAATAAGTAATAAAATAGCTAATAATTAATTAAATTATATTAAACCTATAAAATATTGACTTAAGCCTTATTATAATATTATCATACCGACGGCTTGTAAAATTAATAAATAAATAAATAAATAAATAATAACAAAATAAATAATGACAAAAAATAACTAATAAACGAACAAATCATGAATTATTAATAATAATATGTTATATTATTAATTATTATTATTATTAGTTTTATTAGTTATTTTTTTGTCATTATTTGTATTAGTTTATTATTTTGGCAATAATTGTTGTATTTTGTAATTTGTATAACATAGAATTAATACTTTATTATACTGAATTCGATATTTCATTCTTTAGAATAAATAGAAAATTCGGGACGTTTTTTGGTTTTTGCCAAATAATTCAAAAATTTCATATAGAACTGCTCCTTTTTAGTTAGACAGGGTAAAACTATATAAAATTTACATTTCCTAGGGAACACTTTTATACACTTCGATATAAAATTTTTGGATAAAACGACTTTGAATTCGATATTTCATTCTTAAGCAATAAATATAGAAAATTCGGGATATTTTTTTGGTTTTTGTCAAATAACTGAAAAAATTCATATGTTCCCTTCTTAATCAAATAGGGTAAAACCAGATAAAATTTACAACATTTTCTAGGGAACATTTTTATACACTCCGATATAAAGTTTTGAATAAAACAACTTTGAATTCGATATTTCGTTCTTAAGCAAAAAATATAGAAAATTCTGGACCTTTTTTTAGTTTTTGTCAAACAACTCAAAAATTTCGTATGGAACCACCTCTTTTCAGTTAGACAGGGTGAAACTAGATTAAATTCATAACATTTCCTAAGGAACACTTTTATACAATCCGATATAAAACTTTTGAATAAAACGTTAGAAAAAACAATCTTATATTTAAAAAAAAACTTCTACTTCCACTATTTTTCCTTGGCATTATTTTTTATAGGAATTTTATCTCCAAAATAGTAGTAAAGAACAAAAGCTGTCTAACTTATTGTGATACTTGAGAAAATAATTGCCCAGGTCATTTGGGCCCAGCCTAAGTTTATTTTTATTTTAGTGTTAGAGCACTAATGGATTTGTCTTGTCGGAGACCAAATGATAAAAATGATATAAATTCGTAGACGAAAAACATTTGAGGGCGAAAAATGGATAAAAATAATAAAAAAATAATTGTTTGCAATATGTATATATTATAATGGTGTTTTAGTTTTA